ATTGACTATACCTCCTCTGGCTCACTGTAAGCCCCTGACTCACTATAAGTCACTGATCCACTCACCCGCGTACAAGCTTATCCACCAGCTCTGTATGCCTCTCCACAAACTCCAACGCCACTGCCGGTCCTTCTTCTTCCTCTTCCTCCTGAGGCGCTCCCTTCTGTGCTCCCCCGCCCTCCCCTCCCTCCTCCTCCTCCTCATCCTCATCCTCGTCATCATCCCCCTTTGGTCGCCGTCTCTTCCCGCCGTGTGCAAGGAGGTACGTCCACACCAGCACCATCTCCTTGCGTGCCTGAGGGCGACAGGGATTGCGGGGAGTGCAGGGGGATTTGCTTTGGCTTTATAGGTCAGCAGCCCAAAACCCCTCCCCTCCCTCCTCCTCCTCATCCCCCCATCTCCCCTGCTCCGCTCCCCCTGTGTGCAAGGAGGTACGTCCACACCAGCACCATCTCCTTGCGTGCCTGAGGGCGAAAGGGATTGCGGGGAGTGCAGGGGGATTTGCTTTGGCTTTATAGGTCAGCAGCCCACAACCCCTCCCCTCCCTCCTCCTCCTCATCCCCCCATCTCCCCTGCTCCGCTCCCCCTGTGTGCAAGGAGGTACGTCCACACCAGCACCATCTCCTTGCATGCCTGATCGAAAAGAAGGGGTTGCAGGTAATGTGGTGGAACTCGTTTTGGATCTACAGCTCAGAAAACCCCCTCTTCTCCCCCTCCCATTCCCTCCCTCCCCCCCTTCCCCCCTTCCCCCCTCTCCTTCACTTCAACATGTGCAAGGAGGTACGTCCACACCTGTACCATCTCCTTGCAAGGCTGATGGTGAAAGGGATTGCAGAGAGTGCAGGGAATGCAGGGTTACCACCACCTATATGGGTTACTTACACACACAAATAGTACCATCGCCGCTAAAAACATTCTCATTACAATCACGCACTCGTTACAACCAAGCATTCCTGAACAGCCATGCACTCACAAGCACTGTGCAACGCACCTCCCGATCAAAGACAGGCAGATGCGACACCAGCAGGGGCTGCAGGTCACACTTGACCGACTCCGCTACAGCCTCGCGATTGGGCAGGTGTATGCACTCACAACACAACACAACACAATGCACAACGCACCTCCCAGTCAAAGACAGGCAGACGCGACACCAGCAGAGGCAGCAGGTCACACTTGACCGACTCCGCTACGGCCGCCGCTACAGCCTCTTTGTTGGGCGGCGCGTCCAAATCGCCTATCAGCAGCACTCGCACAGTCACCAGGCTTTTCAACACCTCCTCTGCACTCTGTGACACAAATTTCACAGGAAAGAGCGGGAAGTGGAAGCTGCATTCGCATCCAAATCACCTATGAGAAGCACTCGCACTGTCACCAGGGATTTCAGTACCTCCTCTGCACTCTGTAGTGTGGGGAAGGGGGGAAACAACACATTGAGGAGGAAGGGAACTGCGCTGACATGATTGGGTTGGGCGGCGCGTCCAAATCGCCTATGAGCAGCACTGCACTGTCACCAGGGATTTCAACACCTCCTCTGCACTCTGCGTTGAGGGTGGTGAGGCAACACAGCAAAGAAGAGGGGGACGTGATTTGGAAAGAGATTGCATTGTTGTGTCTGGATCGCCTATGAGCAGCACTCGCACTGTCACCAGGGATTTCATTACCTCCTCTGCACTCTGCGTTGAGGGTGGTGGGGGTATCACAGCAAAGAAGAGGGGGACGTGATTTGGAAAGAAACTACACTTTTGTGCCTAGATCGCCTATGAGCAGCACTCACATCGTCACCAGACTCTTCAGAATCTCCTGCAGCTGCACTCTCTGGTGGCGTGGGTGGGGTCTCACAGAAAAGGAGGAGGGGAGAGGAGGGGGGAGGTGGGGGTGACACGGGGAGTATTCACACGGTTCAGTCCAGATCGCCTATGAGCAGCACCCGCACTGTCACGAGCCTCTTGAGCACCTCCGCTGCGCCCTGTGAGTATGAAATCACAGAACGGACCAGGGTGGGGGGTGGGGATTGGGGGAGGGGGGGGACCAAAGATTCAGATTTGCTCTTTTTCGTGCTTGCTGCAATGCAATGCACACGAGCAGCACGCAACGCACACTGTCACCAGGCTCGCCAGCACCTCCTCTGCACTCTGACACAGCTGAAACAGGAATGGTGGGGTGGTTAGGTGGAGAAGAGGGAAGATTCATCTTACGGCAGACGAGCACCACGTGCACTGTCTGTCACCAGTCTTTTCAGCACCTCCTCCAATGTGGACAGGTCAAATCTCTCTCTAGATTGACGACATGCTCAATGAAACCAATTTGCTGTAGGTCGTTTTTTTAGAATTCTCAAAAACGACCTACAAATACATGCACTGTCACCAGTCGTTTCAGCACCTCCTCCAACGTGGTCAATGCTCTCTCTAGTCTAGATTGACGACATGCTCAGTGAAACCAATTTGCTGTAGGTCGTATTTTATTGAGTTCTCAGAGACAACCTACAAATACATGCACTGTCACCAGACTCCTCAGCACCTCCTCCAATGTGGTCAATTCGCTCCCTAACGCTCTCTAGATTGACGATATGCTCAATGAATCCAATTTTTACGATTCCTGCTGAGAGAAACTTCAGTTCTGATGTAATATGTAATTTCCAGGTGTGCCTGACTGACATGATGTTGTAGTTCTGTTGCACTCGCGTCGCACGGCTCCCATTGCGACACCTTCGTCGCGCGAGTCGGCATTGCGACACTGGCATTGCGGAACTCCCATTGACGACACTCGCATTGCGACATTCCCACTGCGACACTGGCATTGCCGCACTCCCATTGCGACACCCGCATTCCGACAATTCATTCGTCGCCATCGCCAAGCAGTGGTCGCACGGAAGCACTCCCAACAGTGAATTATAATTCTTGATTAGAATTCTTAGTATAATTTCAACACCCACCTTATCATCTCGTGGCAGCGACTGAAGCCCATCCGCGAGCGCTCGCACTATTTCCGCTGGCGTCTTAGGCTTCGACATAAAGCCGAACATTGCGACAAGCGCTGCCGCCTCTAACCACCTGCCTCACGGCTTAAATGCTGCGGAACTCGCTCGCACGCGTCGCACGTTCGCTAACACTCCAAAAAGCTGACGAAATTAAACTTTCTACTGAGTGGCGAGTCCCTGATCACCAATGGCATGTGACTGGGTGGGGAATGTGGTTGTGTGTGATGAGAAACTACAAGTACAATGGTCACCGCGCGATGAAAGCAGTGCAGTGCAGGCATAAAGACAATTTCTAGGGTGAGTTTTTCTAGGGACAAATGGGGAGGGGTAGTTGTTTGGTGGATGTGTAGGAAGGACAATTTCTAGGTGATTTCTGCTCGTTCAGCTGTACAGTACCGCCTCTTTCTCGCCATGATGGGAAAATCACGGTTAACGGTGGTAAAAGTAATGTTTGGTATGGTTCAGTTAGGTAAACCAAAGATATCAAGGTTTTCCTCCAGTTCGGCACAGTTTAGTGTAGCGAGAAAGAGGGTGTAACCCAAGGGTACCGCTCCGTCACGTACACCCTCTTTCTCACTACACTGAACTGTGCTGAACTGATGGAAAACCTAGTTACCTTCGATTTGTCTGATTGAACCATACCTAGACTTCATCTAACCACCGTTAACCGTGCTTTTCCCATCTTGACTTCACTATAACCGAATTCACAATGGCGAGAAAGAGGGTGTATCGAAATCTCGTCTAGCCGCTTGACCATGAGCACAAACGGAAAGTGCCAGGTCATTTCATATTAAGCTGACGTGGCGAGGCTGGTTACCGTTTGTAACAAGCCAGTAGTTTCAAACTATTCGCTTATGATCTCATATTGAATGGTACAATTGGTGGCAGCATAATAACTTATATAACAATATGAGTGCCAAAAATACATCCCTTAAATCTTCACAGGGGACCAAATACAGTTCTACCATCAACGCATTAATCAGAGATACTCGCATGACGAATACTTTCTCATATTGATTTCACGTGGTCATAAATATATCCCCAGGTCTGTCATACGCGTTATACCTATTCGATGACACTCTCAATGTGTCACTCTGATCGCTGATGTCCAATGAGCCTCCTTGCTTACCTCATTCTCACCAGCTCTTCCACATCCTGTCAGTCACATCACAAAGAATTTCACTCGCTTGAGCGAACTGCGGTCAGTCGCTCTCGCCTTAATCTCATGAGACGCGGTAGTTTCCATGTAAAGTGGTGCACTCTTGGGTCAGTTAGATAGCTCTGTTTGTGTGTTTTTCATACCTCGGATCAATCCGCGCTAGAAAACGATCCCTTTGTCGCCAATGGCATCAGCAGCACCGAGCAATTCAACCGCTGTAGCAGACTGTGCATCGGCTGTAGCAGAGGCAGCAGTGCAGCTGCTGCCGGCTGTAGCAGAGATGGGTACCGCAGGTGTCGTGTATATGGCCGCTGCGTCCTGCGCTCAGGTTGGTCCAAATTGCTAGTTCTGGCTGTCGCGAAATTGCGGCTGTATTGAACCCTGCAAGTGCGAATTCGGCTGTAGCGAACCTTGCATGTGCTCATTTCGGCTGTAGCGAACCTTGCATGTGCTCATTTCGGCTGTAGCGATCCCCGCATTAGAGATGTCAAACGGACTGTACACCTTCTGTGTACGTACGTGTCCCTAGAAGCGTCTGGCCACATCCTCATATTCATATTCATATTCCTTGGCCTATATGTGCTTCCATGGCAGCACCCCCATCCGCAACACCCCTTTTCCCCCTCCCTAACCCCCCTCCTCCCCCCCCCCCCACTTCCCTCCCCCTTCCCTTCCCCTCCCCTCCCCCACCCCGCTACCCCTCCCCCACATCTTTCCTTCCTCACCTGCGTTCTTACCAATCCGACCCCCTCTCCCCCCATCCCCGTTATAAGCACGTTGACATCACGTTGTGCAGAGTCTCCTGCGCTGCACAAGCCTCCCACTCTCTCCTCCCCATCCCCGCTACAAGCATTCTGGCATCTTATGCAAAGTCTCCTGTGCCTCACCCGTCTCCTTCTCTCTTTCCCCCATCCCCGTTACAAGCATGTTGGCATGGTGTGCAGAGTCTCCTGCGCCTCGCCCGTCTCCTCCTCTCTCCTCGGTGCTCTCTGCATCGCTGCCGGCTCGCTTGCCTCCGCGCAGGTATGCAAGCATGCGTCTACTCCCTTCTTGCCTTGTCCATCTCCCCGTCTCCTCCTCTCTCCTCGGTGCTCTCTGCATCGCTGCCGGCTCGCTTGCCTCCGCGCAGGTATGCAAGCATGCGTCTACTCCCTTCTTGCCTTGTCCATCTCCCCGTCTCCTCCTCTCTCCTCGGTGCTCTCTGCATCGCTGCCGGCTCGCTTGCCTCCGCGCAGGTATGCAAGCATGCGTCTACTCCCTTCTTGCCTTGTCCATCTCCCCGTCTCCTCCTCTCTCCTCGGTGCTCTCTGCATCGCTGCCGGCTCGCTTGCCTCCGTGCAGGTATGGTTAAACAGTGAGGCTCGATAGTGAGTCTCGGCAGCAAGGCTTGAAACCCTGCAGAGAGGGTAGGCAGGCCACACATCCGCCTAAGAGGAGAAGAGTCTCCTCGCCCGTCTCCCCCTCTCTCCTCGGCGCTCTCTGCATCGCTGCTGGCTCCATTGCCTCCGTGCAGCTGAGGCTCGGCATTGAGGCTCGGCATTGAGGCTCGGCAGTGAGGCAGTTGGCATGGTATGCAGAGTCTCCTGTGCTTCGCCCGTCTCTTCTTCTCTCCCCGGTGCTCTCTGCACAGCTGCTGTCTCCCTCGCCTCCGCGCATGTAAGGCTCGGCAGTGAGGCTCGGCAGTGAGTTTCGGGAGTGGGGGCTCAAGTTCAACTCAGTAGCAAATGCTTTAACCAAGGCCCAACCCAAGTAGACGGGGCAGAGCACAGTGGGTAGGGCAGGTGCAATTGTATGGGGTATCTTACCCCATAACATCCCATCCCATGCCCTCACTTCCCTTTACAACCCCTCCCTTCCCACCGCCCCCCCTCCCATCCCATCCCATCCCCACCCCAACACATGCTACCACCCCACCACAACCCACTCAACGCCATTCGACCCACCTGCTACATGCAGGCCTCACAGGCGGTCCACGCAGCCTTTCACCCGACCCCACGCCACCGCACACCACTGCATCCCACCCCACTCCACCGCATGCAGGCCTCACAAGCGGTCCACACAGCCTTTCACCCGTCGCAGCAACAATTGTCTTACCAGCCCATCTCATCCCAATTCCTCTCATCCCCTCGCCTCCCATCCGACCCCTCGCCACCGCACACCACTGCATCCCACCTCACTCCACCGCATGCAGGCGTCACAGGTGGTGCATGCAGCCTTTCACCCGCGTCAACAACAACAGTCATCTCACAAGCCCAGCGCCCCATTCAAGCAGCAGCCACGCCAAGGCAGCAGCAGTGCCAGCAGTCAGCAGAGCACAAAGGGGACGACGACACACAGCTTGTGGGGGCTGTGGGCTGGCAGCAGCGGCAGCACCAGAACCAGCAGCAGCAGTAGCAACAACAGCAGCGGTAGCAACAGCAGCAGCGGTAGTGACAGATACTTAGGACTCAGTGACGGGATGGAGAGGGCGCAGAGGGGACTCGCAGACATGAGAAGGCGGGCGGCGGATGAGGTGGCACGCCATGATTGGCCGAGCATGTCTTCTAGGCAAGCAGCAGCGCATGTGGTGGTTGGACTGCTGGCGTTCAAGGTGGGTTTAAATTCTGGACCGGCCGAGCCTCTTCAGTGTGGATCGGTCGGTCGCCTCCCTTGCTTTGTCCCCCCAACTAGCAGCAGCGCAGCCATGTGGTGGTTGGACTGCTGGCATTCAAGGTGGGTGGGTTTGGGAAATGGGACTGCTTTTGAGTCGACTCAGAAGCGGAAATGGGACTCCTCTTACCTGCCGTTGCCGCCCTTCTCCCTCTGCATGGCTCTGCCTTTCGCTCACGATTCACACGCTATTGCTCGCACCCCTGTACTCCAAGATGCTAGGTGGTGGCTTCTGCAACCTCATGCCCAGCAACGCGCCACCCTCACATCCTTCCAGTTCGCATTCCTACCTCACCCTCTCACCCCTCCCTCACCACGCTGTTTTACAAGATGATAGGTGGTCGCTCAGCGACATCACTCTTATTCCCACCCCTTCTGCATTAAACCTTACCCCACACCCCTCCACCCCGCACCCCTACCCTCCAAGATGCTAGGTGGCCGCTTCTGCAACCTCATGCCCAGCGACGTGCAAAAACGAGGTGCCTTCGCCTCCTTCTCCCTGCCAGGTGCGTGTGCTGTGTGCACTCATCCACAAGTTTAGTACCACACTGTCAGGCGCGCCCTGCCAGGTACGCCCTGCCAGGTACGCCCTGCCAGGTACGCCCTGCCAGGTACGCCCTGCCAGGTACGCCCTGCCAGGTACGCCCTGCCAGGTACGCCCTGCCAGGTACGCCCTGCCAGGTACGCCCTGCCAGGTACGCCCTGCCAGGTACGCCCTGCTAGGTACATGTGCTGGTGCACTTTCTCACAAGTTCAGTCCACCCTGCCAGTTACGCCCTACCAGATGGGCAGGGCACACTGACAACGTGAGTGAGTGCTCAGGGCCCACCATTTACTGCGTGTTCTTCAACGGTGTGTGGTGGGCTCTCGCGTCTTTCGAGACGTCTCAATTTGTTTTTGAGTTTTGAGACATCTCAAAAGTCTTTATTGTGTGTTCTTCAACGGTGGTGGGCGGTGGGCACTCACGTTGTCAGCGGAGAGCGGTGGGCTTCCACCACTGCGGGAAAAGACAAGGCAAGACAACCAGTTTCCCACTTTCCCTACCACCCACCTCCCTTCTTCTGATTCGAACCCTCTCCATGCACCCTCTCCATGGACCCTCTCCATGCAGCCAAGGGCAGAAAGTACGCCACGGGGAACTCACGGGGTCTCATCAAAGGCCTCTTCAATCGCTTCGGCTGCCACCACTGCAGCTCACTTTCTCCCTCCCCTTGCTTCTTCCCTCCCTCTCCCCTCCCTCCTCCTCCATGCAGCCAAGGGCAGCAAGTACGCGACAGGGAGCTCAAGGGTTCTGATCAAAGACCTCTTTCATCGCTACGGCTGCCACCACTGTGGGACAAGGCGGGGCGACTGGTGAGTGTCTTCCTTCTTGTTGCGAGGGGGGAAAGGGAGGGCAAGGTGTGGGGTGGGTTTGTTCGTGTTGGTAGAATTCTGCGAACGGCCCATGCTGAAACGACTTTTAGTTCTGAGGCGCCTCAAAACCAGACGCCTCAAAACGAGGCACCTCAAAACCAGACGCCTCAAAACGAGGCGCCTCAAAACCAGACGCCTCAAAACGAGGCGCCTCAAAACCTGACGCCTCAAAATGAGGCGTCTCAAAACTGGGTTTGTTCGTGGTGGTAGAATTCTGCGAACGGCCCATGCTGAAACGACTTTTAGCAATTCCTGTCTTAATCTCTTTATCCTCACACCTCCCTCCCAACCCAGCATTGCAGACCACATCCCCACCAACTGGGATGTGCACGGGGCTAGATGGCTCAAGCGCTCCAAGCATACTCGCACTCAACCTGCCCTCTCTGTGCCTCTCGTCTCCTCTCCCTCTCCGCTTACTCGTCTCCCAGTATATCAGACCACATCCCCACCAACCGGGATGTGCACGGGGCTAGATGGCTCAAGCGCTCCAAGCAGACTCGCACTCAACCTGCCCTCTCTGTGCCTCTCGTCTCTGTGTCTTTTCCTCTCCGTTCCTCTGTCCTCCTTTCCCTCCCAGCATTGCAGATCACATCCCCACTAACCGGGACGTGCATGGGGCCAGGTGGCTCACACGGTCAAAGCAGATCAACTCTCCACCTACCACCACCACATCTGCTCCCACTACCACTGCTACCACTGCCGCCACTGCAGCCACTGCAAGCACTGCAACCGCTGCTAGCACTGCTACTAGTGTCGCCACTCCAGCCATAGAAGCTTCCACGAAATCTGCATCCTGGCCTGCCAAGATCATGCCCCTGGGCTTGCTGCGAATTTTCCGCCCTTCAGCAGGAGCAGTTGAAGGAGCAGCAGCAGGAGCAGCAGGAGCAGGAGCAGTAGCACGAACAAGCACGGCAGCCAGTGCCAAACAGGCTCGGGCCAAGCCTGCTGCCAAGCCTGGGCGCATGCCTCGGGTTTCATCCACTTCCACTTCGTCTTCCTCCCGCCTTTCTAGATCTCCCACTATGAAACAGCGCGCACCTGTTGTCCACCGCTCTCCTATTCTCAGGCGCCAGGGAAGCACAAGGGGGACAGGAACAGACACTGGAAAGCCGGGCGTCGGCGAGGGGAATGTGGAGGACGGGGCGGGAGGAAGGGTAAAACGAGGGACAGAAGGGGCAAAGCAGGGTGCTGAGGAAGCAGGTTCAGGGGCTGCTGGTAAGGGAGGGATTTTCGGATGGCTGGGCCTGAGTCCTGGTCAGGCAGGGCATGGAGTGAGGGAGTCGCAGAGGCAGAGGCTGTACCCGCAGTGTGCTGAGTGCTCCGGAAAGCAGTCGGCTGCCGTGCGCAATCAGCGCCACACACTCGTGCTGCACCGACGGTCAGGATGGCCCCTGGTGAGCACTGGGTGTTTTTGAGAGCGTTGAGAGCACTGGTGAGCAAAGCAGAGCGGAGATGAAAAGGCTCATTCACACCGTCTCCCCTCCCTGCACCCTTGCATTCTCCTGCCGTGCGATCTCCCCTAGCGGCATCCCCACGTTTCTTTCTCGCCCATCCCATCTCATGCACCCATCCCATCCCACACGCCCCCCCTCCCCCCGTCCCATCCCATATCATCTCTTACCCTGCAGCCATACTTGTTTACTGTACTTAAAGGGTTTTGCTTTGCTTTAAGGGAAGTTTTCCAACCGTCACATTCGCCTCTCCTCTCGCTCTGCAGCCGTACTTGTTGATGGGGGTTTGCTTTGAACGAGACTAATCGTTTCCATTTGTTCGATCTCCTCGTACCCAAGCAGCTTTCACGCCATTCCCCCTCCACAGCCATGCTTGTTCATGAATCATGAGGGTTTTCTTTGCACAAGACTAATCGTTTCCACTTGTTCGATCTCCTCGTACCCAAGCAGCTTTCACGCCATCCCCCCTCCACAGCCATGCTTGTTCATGAATCATGAGGGTTTTCTTTGCACAAGACTAATCGTTTCCACTTGTTCGATCTCCTCGTACCCAAGCAGCTTTCAAGCCATCCCCCCTCCACAGCCATGCTTGTTCATGAATCATGAGGGTTTGCTTTGCACGACAAAGCTATTCCCATGCCGTCCTGTGACTCCCGTCCCTCCCTCTCGCCCTTATGGCCCCTCCAGCCATGCCCTTCCGGAAGATTCTTCATCCATCCACAACTGATGGCTCAAGGATAGGATTCTCTTGTTTCTATTTCCTTCACACATCTCCCTCCCTCCCTCTTCCCCTGCAGCCGTGCCTCTTTGGTGGATTCTTCATCCATTCACAACTGATGGCTCAAGGACAGGAGACAATTGATACTATGACTGGTAAAGGATAGGTTGCTGTGCAAAACGGTGGGCCGATGGGGTGGGCTGTGGGATGCTATGCTCTTCTATTGCAAGCATTCGTTACAAGCAATGCAGACAGTAATATGCAAACAGGCTTATGAGGTACTTATGGTAACACTGTCCTGTACCAGTGGCATTTAGTAAATACTTGATCAGTCTCTGGCCTAATCAAGCACTATTGAAGCCTAGTATATTTGCGGCAATTTGTCGAGCAGATAACCGGTAACCAGCAAACCCTATTTCTGTAACTGCTGCTGTGGACGGCGACGGTGATGGTGCAAACGTGGAGGGAAGCGAGTGGGAGTGTGTGGGAATAATGCGGGGGAAGAGAGAGAATGGGCGGCTAGACACGAGGGCGGCGTTTCTTGTCATGTTGTGGTGGTGGGTGCAGTCAAATGCTGATAGCTGCGATGACCTGGTGGAGGGGGGACATAAGAGGAAAGGAGGGTGGGGGGGAGGGGAGGGGAGGAACAGAGTGCGGGGTCTTAAGGGGAGATGGTGGTGGTGGTGGTGGGTGCAGTGCGGTGCTGATGGCAGTGACGTGCTGGTCGCAGAGGGACAGAAGAGGGAAGGGGAGGGGGGAAAGGGGTTCAGCATGGGCGAATTTGAGTCAACTCAGACTACTTATGAGGCGCCTCAAAATCAGAGTAGACTAAGAAGCCATGTTGTGGTGGTGGGTGCAGAGGAATACTGGGGGCTGTGATGAGCTGGTGGATGGGAGGCAGAAGTGTAAGGGCGGGTGGAGGGGAGGAGGGGGGGAAGAAGGGTTCAAAAAGAGGTGAATTTGCGTTGACTCAGAAGTCATGTTGTGGTGGTGGGTGCGATGGGATGCTGAGGGCTGTGATGAGCTGTTGGGCGGGAGACACAAGTGTACGGGCTGGTGGAGAAGAGGGGGGAGGAGGGGACGCACGGAGGCTGGATCGTTTTGAGACGTCTCAAAACATCTCTTTTATCACGTGGGAGGAGAAGAGGGGGGAGGAGGGGACGCACGGAGGCTGGATCGAGGTGTTAAGGGGAGATGGATGGTTGTGGTGGCGGTGGAGCAATGAGAGGAGGGGGAACGGGAGAAAGGGGGAAAGGAACGAATGGGGGCGCGGGAAGGAGAGAGAGGGGCTGAGAAAGGTGAGGAGAGGGGAACGGGAAGTGAGGGTGGGGGCAGGAGAGGGGGGGGAAAGGGGGAGAGGGAGCAAGGAGGGGGCGGGAGTGGGGGAGTGGTTAGGGAAACAGAACGAGGATAGAAAGACAGGAAGCGGGCTCGAGAAACTGGAGCAAAGAAGCGAGCGCGAATAGACGAGGGGGAGAGAACGGGGAAGCGAGAACGAGGGTGAGAGAAGCAGTCAAGAACGAGGCACGGGGGAACGAGAACGAGGGTGAGAGAATGGCACAAAGCAGTCAAGCAAACAAAGGGGAACCAGGCGACTAAAAGAAGCATGACACGTGTCTCATGTTGTCAGATGGTGAATAGAGAAAGCATGCCACGTGTCAGCCTCTCAGGCTACAAGCTCTCAACACGCACCTAATGGGTATGACAACTCATGTTGCGAGATCTTTGAGAAAAGACAGTATCACACTGAATTGTTCGTGCTCTCTTCTGTCTGCCTACTCATTCCCGCCGATGCGAATTTCCATTGTCAGAGCGAAATCACCAGGCGGCCTGACTGCTGACCGTCCCTGCCGCCGGCTGAGCGGCCTTATCCGGCGGAAGGTAACGATACCAGCTAGCCGTTCGGATCGTCCTGCTCGGCACAGCACGGCACGGGATCGGACCCAAGCCGCAACGCACCGCAAGCTTACTGCGCTGCAACGCACTGCACCGCGGGCTTACCCGTCCACGGTCTCGGTGTGAAACCCCTGCCGCTGCTTGTGCTTGGGGTTTGTCGCGCACACCACGTACACCCGCCCGCGCCGCCGCACCACGCGGCACGCTTCGCACAGCCGCTTCACCGACGCGCGAACCTTCATCGCGACACGCGCGCGCTGTGGCTGCTGATGAATGCCCTGCTCTGCTGCTAATCGCGCTGCGAGAAACGAACTCCTGATGTTTCAGCCCAAGTTGTCCAGAGGAAGCGTGTCGTTATAAGTTGTGCCGATTTACGGAACCAGGGCGAACGGGCTCAAAATCTGTGTTACGACAATCAAGTGTAAACTTTTGATATAAATCCAAATACCAGAAGGTAAAATTTGAAAAGCTCAGCCGACTGATTCATTTCTCCAGAAAACCACTTTTCAAGCAATATAGAAAACGGCCGATCTGGAGTAGTGGAAACTAGATACTTTGATTCCGCATGGTTGTTCCACATGAACATGTTGCGCATTGTTATCAAACCACAACACAAGTTTGCCCAGCACTAGCTTTCCACCAGTGCCTAAACTTAAATGGCAACTTCCACTTCCTTTCATGCGTTGAATCCAGCAGAAACAATGCTATGAGCTTGCTCTCCTGGGCTCTATCCAGTCTTTTATCTTCTGCCTCCTAACTGAGGCACAATCCCATCTCGAATCATCGGTTTCCCCCAAGAGATGCGACCAGACAAAAAAAAAAAAAACAAAAAAAAAACAAATCAAGCAGTTATGAGGCAGCGTGCTTGGTCTGTGCGTGCTGCTTCAGGCCCTCTTCGGACCTGAATTTTCTGAGTGGGCACAACAGTGAACGGGGGACAGGGGAGTGGGGAGGGGAAAAGGGGGTGAGGGTGGGTGGGAGGGAGGGAGGATGAAACACATTGAGTTCAGCATGTCACGTGGGTCAGAATGAACAAGCCAAGTTTTGACCCCCCCCACTCCTCTACCCCCCCCCCCCCCCCTGCCCCCTTCCCCCCCCCCCAAAAAAAAGAAAAAGAAAAGAGCCATGAATGAGGGGCCTCAAAACAGGACTCAGCATGCCACGTGGGTCAGCATGAGCCACATTTGAGAATTCTTAAAAACCACCAAACTAGCAACCGGATGAGAAGTACAGAAAGAGACACTCACTTGTTGCACGCTCCGCACACAATTCCGCCTTCAGGAGTTGCTGCCTTGGCTGCTGTGGCTGCTTTAGCCGGCGTTGAACCCTCCTTAGCAGGAGTCCCTGCTGCCTTTCCTGCCTTGGCTGCTTTCGCAGGAGTGGATGCTTTAGCAGGGGAGGCAGCAGGGGCAGCTTTGGCGAGAGCAGAGGCGGCTTTGGCTAGTGTGGCGCCGGGAGTGGGGGGGTTGGGCACTGGCTTGGCTGGGGTTGGGGCGGGGGCGCGGGGGACCGGCGTGGTTGCTGGTGTGGTGGGCTGGGGGATGGGAGATGGGGGCGGGGAGTGGGGGGAATCAAGAAAGAGAGGGGAGGAAGACAGGAGTCAGTACTACAATGGAGAGCAGAAGAGCAGAGCGGAGGCAGCAGGGGCAGCTTTAGAGAGAGCAGAGGCGGCTTTGGCTAGTGTGGCGCCGGGAGTGGGGGGGTTGGGCACTGGCTTGGCTGGTGTGGGTGCCGGGGAACGTGGCACTGGGGTGGTTGCCAGTGTGGTGGGCTGTGGGATGGGAGATGGGGGCGGGAGGGTGGAGGGGGATGTGGAGGGGATGAGGGAGGGAAACAAGAGAGGGGAGGAAGACAGGAGTCATTACTACAATGGGAGTGGGGGGGTTGGGCACTGGCTTGGCTGGTGTTGGGGCGGGAGCACGGGGGACCAGCGTGGTTGCTGGTGTGGTGGGCTGAGGGGTTCGGGAACGCAACGGGAAAGGGAGACAGCACAGGGAAAAGAAATGGGGGAGAGGGGAAAGAGAGCATATCTTATACACTGACCATTCATATAACACCCTTTTCATAGCACACTGCATTCACGTACCATTCCATTCACATTTGAGAATTCCCAAGATTTTGTTGAGGCGAAGTCATTCACGTAGGTAGCATTCCAGCGAGTCACATCTGAGAATTCTCCAAGGTCAAACTACAACCGATGAATTCGCCTCCCTGTTGCATCGCCATGGGTCATGGGATGGGATGTGTGGGGCCTTTTTTGGGACGCCAAAAAAACATCTCCCTGTTGCATTGCCAAGGGTCATGGCATGTATGGGGCACCACTAAATCACCATTCACATGATCAATTCATGAAATCACATGCATGCAGCTCACCTGTGCCTTATCTTCCTTCCCAGGAGTGCCCTCCTCCTTCCCCTTCTTACCCTTTCTCAAAAGTCACCTCTTTTGACTCGACTCAAAAGCCAAATCACATGCATGCAGCTCACCTGTGTCCTATCTTCCTTGCCAGGTGTCCCCTCCTCCTTCCCCTTCTTCCCCCTTGTAACTGACTTTTGGATTGAGTCGACTCAAAAGCCAACTCACCTGTGCACGCAATCACTTGTCCATGCAACTCACCTGTGCCTTATCTTCCTTGCCCGGAGTCCCCTCTTCCTTCCCCTTCTTCCCCTTTCTCCTCTTCCCCTTCCCCTCCCCTGCCTCTCCCCCAGGCGTCCCCTGCGCCCCCTCCTTCTCACTGACCTCAATCTCCCCTTCTTTCCTCTTCCTATCCACACCATTCGCACTCCCTGCCTTCGCCCCTTCTCCGCCTTTCGCCCCAACTCCTCCCTTGCTCCCTTCGCCTGCCTCCTCTCTCTCAGCCGTCTTCTTCTCTTCTTGTGCTGCGGTGAGCTGTGCCAGCACTGCCGCTGCCTTCTGAGCCTTCTTCGCTTCTGCAATCGGCAAAAGAAAAAGGGGTGGGAGGGGGGGGGAGGGGGGGGGGGGGGGGGGGTAGGGGAAGAGGCGAGGGTAGGAGCAACGGGATGCAGGCATTATGAGGAGGCGGGGGCACGAGAGACAGTGCTGCTCTTGCTGCTGCTGCTGCTTCTGCTGCTCTTGCTTCTGCTGCTGCTGCTGCTGCTGCTGCTGCTGCTGCTGCTGCTGCTGCTGCTGCTGTGAGCTGTGCCAGCATTGCTGCTACATTCTAGGCCTTCTTTGCTTCTAAATTAGGGAAATAAAAAATATGCGGAAGAGGAGGTGAGGGAGGTGTTATGAGGAGGCGAGGGCAGGAGCGACCGTGCTGCTGCTGCTGCTGTTGCTGTAAACGCTGCAATCTGCATTGCTACTGTGCAGCGCTGCTGCTCACTGCAATGCGATCTCTTTTGCAAATGAACGCGACTCACTCTTTGTGGCTAGCTCTGCCTGCAGCGCTGCCCAAGTTCTCCCTTGTTGTGCGCTGCATTCGGCATTGCTGTCTGCGTTTGTTTTTACATGCAGCTCAACTCAACTCACTTTTGGTGGCTAGCTCCGCCTGCAGCGCTGCTATCTCCTTTGCCGCCTCCCTCTCAATCGCCTCCTCATCCTCCTCCTCTTCCTCTTCCTCCTCTTCCTCATCCTCTTCAATATCAGCAAATGGGTCCTCATCGGCCTCTGCAACCCCAGGAAAGGAAGTTGAAACGATAAAAAGAAAGCAAATAACTTCCTAAAAAAACAACAACAAACAAAACAAAACCAACAAATAACAACAAAAAGCACCATAAAAGCTTCAGAAAATGGCCGTTCTCACAAAAACTGCACCCCACCACCTGGCTCTTCGCCCCCTAATCCCCATCCCATCCCATCCCATCCCATCCCATCCCATCCCATCCCATCCCATCCCATCACATCCCCATAGAGGTTCCAGAATGCATGCCAAACCGTGTGCGAGCTTGAACGGCCGTCCCTTCACCAACTGCACCACCTCACCACCCGGTTCTTCGCCCCCCTAACCCCCATCCCTTCCCTTCCCGGTAGGCGGTCTATGGGGTCTTAGGCCTGTGTCTTACCTCCCCCATCCGGATACTCCCCTGCATCGTCTTGTACCCGCTCAGAAACACACTCCCTGTGCCGCCATGGGCCAGGGAAAACGGCCGTTCCAAAACCAACTGCACCCTCGCCTGGTCCCTTAACCCCACCCCACCCCACCTCCCTTCCCTTCCCTATAGGCTGTCCATGGGGTCTTAGGCCTGTGCCTTACCTCCCCCATCCGGATACTCCTGCATGGCCTTGTACCCCCTCAGGCACACACTCCCTGTGCCGCCATGGGCCAGAACCCAAGCAGCCCACACGTTGCAGGGCAGCAGGGCAGGGAGTTTTTGAGAATTCTCAAAGACTCCTTGAACCCCCTCAGGAACACACTCCCCGTGGTGCCCCCATGAGCCAGAACCCAAGCAGCCCACACGCGAGTACCAGACAGACACTGACCCGCAGACAGACTGTGCGTGAAATTGAGTGAAGCACCCTCTTGAGACGTCTCAAAACCAATCTCATTTCACACGAGTACCAGACACTGGCTCACAGACAGACGGCAAGGAAACACAAGATCTTCACTTTTCTTACCTCCCCCATCTATATGGGAGTGACTTTTGAGAATTCTCAAAAGGAAACACAAGATCTTCACTTTTCTTACCCACGTGAAGCGAGGTTGTTTTTGAGACGTCTCAAAAAGTACCAGACACTGGCTCACAGACAGACAGCAAGGAAACACAAGATCTTCACTTTCCTTACCTCCCCCATCCGGGTACTCCTGCATGGTCTTGTACCCGCTCAGAAACACACTCCCAGAGAGAACGGCTGCTCCGACACCAACTGCACTCTCGCCTGGTCCTTCTTACCTCACTGCACCCCTCCCATCCCTTCCCATCCCTTCCCGGTCTGCATAGAGGGTCTAAGTCGTACCTCCCCCATCCGGATACTCCTGCATGGTCTTGTACCCGCTCAAGAACACACTCCCTGTGCCACCATGGGCCAAAGAGAACGGCCGTTCCAACACCAACTGCACTCTCGCCTGGTCCTTCTCCCCCCCTTGCAGCACCGCCACCACCGCACTGTACTCCTCTGCACTCCCGTCCTTGCCCTTCAGCTGCTCCTCGTCCTTCTCCTCGTCGCTGTCACTAAACGCAGGTGGGGCGGTCGTGAGTGTGATGGCCACTCGCTCGCCTGCCTTAGGGGAGGGGCCTAGTGCGACCTGGGAGGGAGAGAGAGCAAGAGAGAGAGAGAGAGAAAGAGAGAGAGAGAGAGAGAGAGAGAGAGAGAGAGAGAGAGAGAGAGAGAGAGAGAGAGAGAGAAGGTAGGATATGAGGGGTTTTTAGAGGCTGAGGTGCATTGCTTCTTATAACCTTGTGCATGTCTGTACCTTGCTCGGATCTAATACACGGACCGCTTGAGAGAGAGAGAGAGAGAGAGAGAGAGAGAGAGAGAGAGAGAGAGAGAGAGAGAGAGAGAGAGAGAGGGAGAGAGAGAGAGAGAGAGAGAGAGAGAGAGAGAGAGAGAGAGAGAGAGAGAGAGAGGACTTAGCCTCTGCCTCTAGCCTCTGCCCCTGCCCTCTGGCTATTTAAGGGGCCCGACTGGCCATTCCTCTCCCATTAGTTCATTTCGTTCCAGTTTTTAGCGACATGGAGAGAGCGAGAGAGAGAGAGAGAGAGAGAGAGAGAGAGAGAGAGAGAGAGAGAGAGAGAGAGAGAGAGAGAGAGAGAGAGAGAGAGAGGACTGCGCCGGCCTACCTGGCATCTACAACAGAGGCGCTGCGCCTGCTCCGCTCCCTGGACTTACCGGCAACCGCGCCGCTAGGGGCCGACAGCAACGCCCTGCAGCCGTCTGCAGCGCACTCCGTGACCATCCAGGACATGGAGGGGCGACTGCCACCGCTGGCGCTACAAAGCCTACGGGAGGAGCAGCACACCCCGTCCCAGGACCAGCTGCAGCGCGCCCTCTCCCAGGAAGTGCACGCGGCAAAGGCCAACGCCCTAAGAGAGGAGTCACGCGCAATACAGTCAGCCCCCGAGATGGGCCACACACTCCGCCTAGTCAGCCTGAGAGGAGAGGGAGCGGGAGCGTGGCTGCAGCAGGCACTACCCTTGACCCCGGACCTCTGCTTCTCACCAGGACAGTTCCGAGCGGCCCTGGCCTTCCGCATGGGCATCCGACAGAATGTACCAACCGTGTGCGAGTGCGGAGAACTCGTAGCTGACTGCAGCCTACCCAACCACTTACTCCGCTGCAGCACAGGCCCCGACAGGACACGCACACACAACCAGCTGGCCTTCGCCATGGCTAAACTGGCGAGGGAGGCGCAGCTGGTGGTATACCTGGAGAATGCGATGTAATCACCTCCGGATGACCCGAAGAAGGCAGATGTGATTGTACAAGACCCGGACAGCGGAGAGACCTGGATCACAAACACCACTATCACTGACCCTGTGCTGCAGAACCGAGACCCTAGGTGTGTTTTGAGTCGACTCAAAACACACCTTGAGTCGACTCAAAACACACCTTGAGTCGACTCAAAACACACCTTGAGACGACTCAAAACACACCTTGAGTCGACTCAAAACACACCTTGAATCGACTCAAAACACACCTTGAGTCGACTCAGAACACACCTTGAGTCGACTCAAAACACACCTTGAGTCGACTCAAAACACACCTTTGAGTCGACTCAAAACACACCTTGAGTCGACTCAAAACACACCTTGAGTCGACTCAAAACACACCTTGAGTCGACTCAAAACACACCTTGAGTCGACTCAAAACACACCTGGATCACAGACACCACGATCACTGACCCTGTGCTGCAGAACCGGGACCCCACGGCCCGCAAACCCCCAAGTTGGGCTGCAAGGGAGGCACAGAAGTGGATGGAGAGGGACTACTACCGACACACTGAACACGTGGTGTTCTGCGCCCTGGCCGTCGAGACCTATGGGGCAAACGCGCCCCCCACGACGGCGTTCCTGAAACTGCTGGCCACAGCAGCAGCTAGGAACCGCTTTAGGGCCAGCCCCTTGGCGAAATCCGCCAAGAAGATGGCCTGCCACTTCAGCCAGCGCTGGTCAGTGGCCCTCCAGCGCTCCCAGGCGAACGCCCTGCACACCAAGGCCAGGGCTGGGATTGAGGCAGCACACCCCCAGATGGCAGCGGACCCCTGGCCGCTGCACCTGGGGGACATCCTCCACGCGCTGGAGGGCTAGAGGGTCACTCAGGGTGGAGGGGAGGGGAAGAGGGGTGAGTTGATGGGCTTGTGGGATTGAGGTTATCATGGATAGAACTGCATGTCTGTACCCCTGCTGAATTAATACAACGGACCATTTGAGAGAGGGAGAGTTTAACGAGGATGAGAGGGGGGAGAGAGCAGGATAGGCGAAGGTAGGAAGTTTTGAGACGCCTCCAAACATTGCTTTAGGGGAGGGGCCTAGAGCGACCGGGGAGAGAGACGGGGTTCAGCGAGGATGAGAGGGGGGAGAAGGCAGGATAGGCGAAGGGGGGAATGGGAGGATGAATGAGAGTAGAGGGAGGAACAGTGCTCACCAGTGCTCACCCGACCTTCTAACCACAACTGGTATTTGCAATTGCAGCTATCAGAGAGAGGCTATGGTGAATGCTATGGTGAGCTACCAGGAGATACGAGGGGAGTTCCAGAGAGCGCTAGTTTGTGGTGTGACATGCTATGGTGCATCGGCTCTTGGGTCTAATAAGCCGATCTGCGTCTCAAAGGTCGAATGCATAGAAAAGGGTTTCTGTTTGTGCGGTACAGAGTTTTTAGCTTCAGGGGTTCAAGGTTTAGCGTTACAGTTTTTGTTCGTCTTAAGTCGATTCAAAAGGTTGTAACACCCCGTGCACGTTCTTACATCCGCACGTGGGAGTACTGGGTTGACTTTTGATTTCTAATCGGATTACTATTCCTCGTCGTCTTTTTGGTTGTAGCACCACGTGCACGTGTGTACCTCAGGTCTCGAAGCCAGAAAAGTGAGTGCTAACACAGCACTCGAGTGCTACAGTAACTGCGCGCTACAGTAACTGCGCGCTACAGTAACTACGCGGTACAGTACCCACCTGGGTAATGTGAACGTAGTCCGCAATATCCCGAGGGTCCACGTCCACCGTCTCTCCCGCCTTCACCTCCACGCCTGGTGGCATTCACCAAGGGGGAAAGGAGGGGGAAGGGCGAGAGCGGAAGGCGTGAGGGGGACAAGCAGCGGTAAGAGAGCGGAGCATTGGAATCGAACCCGTCACGAGGGTCCACGTCCACTGTCTCCCCTGCCTTCACCTCCACGCCTCGTGGGTGGGGTTTAAACAAGGGAGGGGGAAGGAGGGAGATGGGAGAAGGGTGTTGGGTGCGGGGACTAAGAGATGGGAACTCATGCCTCATGCCTCATGCCTCATGCCTCATGATAAGTAGAAAGGCGGCCCGGCGGTGGGAAGTGGGGGAAAGGGGGGGGAGAGTGGATGCAAGAGGGAACGGGGAGGGGGAGTGGAGGCAAGAGGGAAGGGGGAGGGGGGCTTGAAAACTACAGGGCGGATTACGAAGACGGGAAAATGCAAGGACGTGTCGATACAGACAGGGGAGACGGCAGGGAGGAAATAAGAACGGCCCTATCCTCTGGCTACTACTCGATGGGCGTGCCCAGAATCTGGCTTATCAGGCACAACAGAAGGCCGCGCCGATGTTTTGTTTACACTCGATACCGCGACCGATGTAGATGAGACCGCTGATGATCCAGTCCGTCGAGTCGAAACCTGTTTCCTCGCAGGTAGTTTCCGAGAGATTCAGAAAACGACCTTATTGGATCGTGGCGTCGGAACCTGTTCAGCGAAATCGCTTTTGAGAATTCTCAAAAGCGACTCAGTGTCAACGCACACGACTCGTATATTTCATCCTGCTCACATGGCCACTCTTGACCTGATCTCGTCTCAAAGAATTGAACGCTGATTCTCACCCCAGAAACGCATTAAGACCGACATTGTGCGTGGTCCCGGTTACACAATGTGAGCGAGCGCTGTTCGATGCGCCTCCTGATTACGATTACGAATCGGCCGCCGCGTCTTGCAACCAAGAACAGGGTTACCAGTAGCGAAGGCGCTGTTGATCGGACACTGTTGCGATGGCAGGATCGTGCGCGTGAGTGTGGTTGTGGCTGCGACAGACGGAAGGCGCAGCGGCAGCAGCAGGTGACGGTTTGGATGGGACAGACAAATCTCCTAAATGAGGCTCGAACCGGAAATTTCTAGAAAACGGAAAACCTGAGAGAAATAAAATTCTTTGGGTGGTTTTTCTGTGGGAGCGGACAGAGGCTAAGGGTTCTGGGTCTTAGGATGCTTGGGGGGTGGTTCTGTATAGGCAGAACAGAGGACGATTGCGTTGCGAGTGCCGCGAAGGCCTTAAATCCGAAGATGAGTTGGAAGCGGAAGCAGATTGGGTGACGAGAGCAACGAGAAAATTATCCGTAATGTGCGAGCAGTAAAACCAGGTTACCAGTCTGTATACGCTCCCCGATTTCTTTCGGGGTTGTGGCTCTTGTTTCTTGGGTTACCACCCAGGCCTGGCGACAATGAACACAGTCGGCGAACTTGCTCAATACACCCAACATTTAAACCAGCCATTTTTTTATTACCCTTTCCCTGTGCTAGTTCCCAAGTCAGGAAGCGGTGTCGCCGGAACAGGAAAGAGAAGCTAAAGATCTGTCTGTATGCCCAAACAGCTGTCTGTCACTCTCATTCCGTCCATCGTTCCATTCCATCCCTCGTTCCGTTCCCAACATTCCCACCTCATTTCATTTCCTATCATTCCGTTCCTTGAATTCCGTTTCTGTCGCTGCGTCACTCTCATTCTGTGCTCTCATTCTTCCACCAGCGCCTCCCTTCCCCTCTTTGACACTCTCACCGTCCTTTCTACATCCCCGCCCAACTGCTATTCGCCAAAGCCCCTTCTTTCCACGGTCAAACGCCACACTTCTCAAAACCTAATCCCCCACTTCTCTTTTCCTAACGCCCCCCCCCCCCCCCCCGTTACTACTCTGTCTATCCCCAACCTCATTGCCAACCTCATTGCCAACCTCATTGCCAACCTCATTGCCATCCTCATTGCCATCCTCATTGCCAACCTCATTGCCATCCTCATTGCCAACCTCATTGCCATCCTCCCCCCATTCTCTACCCATCTCCACCCTTCTCCGCCCATCCCCTCTCATTCCGCCCATCCCCTCTCATTCCGCTCATCCCCTCTCATTCCGCTCATCCCCTCTCATTCCGCTCATCCCCTCTCATTCCGCTCATCCCCTCTCATTCCGCTCATCCCCTCTCATTCCGCTCATCCCTCTCATTCCGCTCATCCCCTCTCATTCCGCTCAACCCCTCTCATTCCGCTCTTCCCCTCTAATTCTGCTCATCCCCTCTCATTCCGCTCATCCCCTCTCATTCCCCTCATCCCCTCTCATTCCTCTCATTCCGCTCATCCCCTCTCATTCCGCCCATCCCCTCACATTCCGCCCATTCCCTCACATTCCCCTCGTCCCCTCTCATTCCCCTCATCCCCTCTCATTCCGCTCATCCCCTCACATTCCGCCCATTCCCCCACATTCCCCTCATCCCCTCTCATTCCGCTCATCCCCTTTCATTCCGCTCATCCCCTCTGATTCCGCTCGTCCCCTCTCATTCCGCTCATTCCCTCTCATTCCGCTCATTCCCTCTCATTCCGCTCATTCCCTCTCATTCCGCTCATCCCCTCTCATTCCGCTCATCCCCTCTCATTCCGCTCATCCCCTCTCATTCCGCTCATCCCCTCTCATTCCGCTCCTCCCCTCTCATTCCGCTCATCCCCTCTCATTCCGCTCATCCCCTCTCGTTCCGCTCATCCCCTCTCGTTCCGCTCATCCCCTCTCGTTCCGCTCATCCCCTCTCATTCCACTCATCCCCTCTCATTCCGCTCATCCCCTCTCATTCCGCTCATCCCCTCTCATTCTGCTCATTCCCCAAGTCTTATTCAGTCAACCCCATCCACTCCAATCTGCGATATTTCCCCACTCTGCGAATGGTTCCCCCTCCCCACTCTGCGAATGGTTCCCCCTCCCCACTCTGCGAATGGTTCCCCCTCCCCACTGTGGGACTTTGCCAAAGTGACTTTGCCAAACTCCCCCTCCTCTCTCCACCAACCCTTCACTCTCGCATCTCCCCACGTCTCTTCAAATCCCCCCATTCCTCTCTTCCATTCCTCCTGCTCCTCTCGTCCAAACGTTCCCTTCCCACACCCCGCCACGCTTCTCTGCCAATATTTCCCATTCCACCCATCTCCACCCGTTTCCCCCCTGGTATACCCCTCTCTCATCCCTTTGACACAAACTACAACTCTACCCCACCCGTGTCCCCAACCCCTCCCTCCTTTTCTCATTTGATCAGTTTCTCTTCTCCCTTCTGTGTCTCCCTCTGCCAATTATGCTTCTACGACTCACCCTCAGCCATTTTCTCCTGGGTTAGATACGGACCCCATTCTCCACCTTTGGTCTTTCCTACATGGGCCTTCTCCAATTGAATTCCCTTTGCTTCTCCCCTCCTCTGCCTCTCCCGTCCTTTGCCTCTCCCCTTCTGTACCTCCCCTCCTCTGCCTCTCCCCTCCTTTGCCTCTCCCCTTCTGTACCTCCCACTTCGTTGTTCCCTCCCCCGCTGCCCCACTCTGTCCCTCCCTCTGTCTTTCCTTCTTCCCCACTCCCTGCGTTTCTTTAACTCGCGCATTCAATTTTTCTTCAATAAGTCTCACTCAAATCACCAGCCCCTCGTACCGGTATGTGTATGGCTGGCAGTTTGCCAGTCCGTCCATCATCTGCTGTGAGGGGAAAGAACTACATCACCAGCAATCAGCTGTACTCACGTCACATCTGAGTGTGTTTTTTCCTTATGTAGAATGTAAGTTTGTAATGTTTGCACAACCCTTGCACAATGTTTCTTTTGATGGGTGAAATATGAATTCATAACTGCTACTGGATGTCCCAGATTGTATGCGTATTTCTATTAATCCCTGAAGAGAAATTCCCAGACATTTGTTTTGTTTGTTTGTTTGTTTTTGTTTTGTTTTGTTTTTCCTTCTGTCACACACCAAATCCTTAGGTATGTGCGCAACGTTGATTTTGTAACTTACACCGAACAAGTTATTGATTTTGTAACTTACACGCTCATTGCATCCGAACCGCCTTTTTCCATCAATACAAGCACGTTATCGCCCCCTTTCTGTACAAGCAGAAGCTGCAGATCAGCATATCACTGCTCGCCTCCCTCGAGCCTGGAGGGACCATAACCCTACAGTGAAGAGGGGGGGGGGGGGGGGGGGGGGGGGGGTGGGGGGGTGGGGGGGAGAGTCTATGTCGGCGGATGCGATGCGATCATGTGATGCGACCGAAGAATTGTTAGGGATTATTTTCGCACGGACAGGACACGAGGAGCCCTGGTTCCAAATCAAAAGGCCAGAAAATCTGCCGAACAAGCTTGATCAGTCCGTGAATTGGGTGGAAACACGGACTGGTGACACAAATCCTACGTCTCTGAATACCTTGGTTTCTCGGTTATTGCAGGGTGTTCGGCCTGTCACGTCGCTTAACACCCTTGTGTAGCACGCGCGCGGAGCATCGATCATGCTTGGTGCCATGCGTTCAGTGAATTTTCCATGCGAACGGACTCATTCACATTCGCGAGTTGTTCGCGAGGCGAGCAGGCTGTTCGAACAAATGACTGGCGAGCATCACAGTTGTGGTTACTCTCGCACTCTTCAGCTACTGAACTTGCGTGCCCGCATGCTAAATACGAAGCAGGGGGCGCTTTTCTTCCCAATTCCCCCAATCGATTCCATCAACATTCGATCCCCCTAGCTGAACCTGCTCAACCTCCCAACATTTCTTTCACGAAGTGCTGCTAATTCTTATCCACGCCGTTGTTGGTTACGTCAGTCGCCATGGATCGTCTCGTGCGCCTCTCGATCTCATTCCTTGCGCTCCTCGCCGCTCTTGACGGCATCAACGGCGAAGTCAGCTACAGCCAGAGTGGGCTCGACTGGGGGGTGAGTGCTTTGGTAGCATGCTTTCTTGATTTTTGTCCGTACGAACCTCATCGCGTATTACACCGACGCTTCCCGTAACTACTACGAATTTCGAAACAGCTGCTCCGTATGATTCGGATGTGAAAACACGATATCTGGCTTTCGTTCCCTTTCCGATACGGGCAGGGAGACTGCCAGTCGGGCGAGAAGCAGTCGCCGATCAACATCGTGATGGACGAGGCGAAGGAAGTGAGCGAGCCGGAGAAGTTCGTTCTCGAGTACGACTCCGCCGCCACCACCGCCAGCGTCATCAACCACGGATACACCGTTCGTAAGTCTCCTAAACCAGATCTTCCTCGCTAGGAGGCATCGGAGATTTCTGGTTTGGTGTCAAGACTCAAAATAAAACTAATTTTGTGAGGAAGAAACCTTTGTCCCACTAACACTTCGTTGATTGGCGTTAGGCAGAGGTTGTTCCGAACCCGGAGAAGACTTACAAACTTCACATCAACAAAGGAACCTTCATTCTGAAACAGGTATGCATGCTGTTTTTTTTCAAGCTATACATACATTTGTGTACTGTTTTTCTAAATGCACAGGATACTTTGTACTGATCCCTTCGTGTATTTCTTCCTTTTCGTTTCAGGTGCACGTGCACTCGTTCTCGGAGCACGCAGTTAACGGGCTGTTCGCAGCCATGGAGGCTCATTTCGTGCACCAGCACGAGAACGACAACACCTCCCTCGCCGTGGTGGGAGTCATGATAAGGCTGCAGCGCCACGACAAAAAGTCCGACTGGATTGACGCGTGAGTATCACCTAGCACCTAGTAAATCTGATGTTCATCTTAACACGTGACCATCTTTTGAGTTACACAGCAACGTCTTATCCATAATAATTTTCCCTTGCCTTATTTCCGCCATCCCCCTGCATTTTTTTCCACTGCCTAAACTCATCGTGTCCCCAAACTACACTCATCATTTGCAGAGCAAGGTACCAGCGGGGGTGGACACCAACACCACCATCTACGATCTTGAGAAATTTTGGACGGAGATGATCGACACGTCCATGGGCTTCTGGACACTCCCCCAGCCCTCCCCTTTCCTCCCTTCCCTATCCCCCAAATTCGTGTTTGCTTCTCAGTTGGCAGAACAAGGTACCAGCGGGGGTGGACACCAACACCACCATCGACGTGCCTCAGAACTTTTGGACTGAGATGATCGACACATCCATGGGCTTCTGGCGCTACTCTGGCTCGCTCACCACACCCGCCTGCAGTGAGATTGTCGAGTGGCATGTGCTGCGCAAGGCCAAGTTCCTCTCTGTAGCTCAGGTAAGGAAACAAAAAAACGGTATTTATTCAGGTGTTCCATTGGTAGATTCAAGCAAGACAGGATAGGATCAACGTTGAGCTGTATTTTTTATCTCACGTGAGTTGTTCATCTAGTTTTGCTTGTTTTGCTTTGATGAGACGGCGTGTCTTCATTGTTGTGTTCCTTGCTCTCCTTTTTCTTCCCCTCTGTTGTCTACAGGCCATCACATTCATGAACCTGATCGCCAAGCAGAACACTGAGCGCACTGACAACCGCCTCCCCGAGCCCCTGAATGGCCGCACTGTCACATACTTCACAAACGTCTCTTAGATCTTACACGGAAGATCATCATCCGATGGCGTTGCATTGCATGCAGTATATGGGCTGTTTTTTATAGCATGTGTTGTCCAAGGTTTTAGGATGGATTGAAACTATTTTTTCCTCCATCAGTTTGATCTTCCGGCATTTTTCACTCATCTACAGTGTTTCTTATAAGTTCAAGTCAAGCTCTGAAAGTATGTCTTGTTCTTCACTTTCCATGTGTGTCTGTTGTCAAACCATACCTGTGCTAGTTGTGTGTAGAATATAGTGGGGTAGCCCATGTGGGGTACAAACAACCCAATATTAGGGTAGTACTTGTTCCCACAATTCATTCAATGCAATCATTCTTGCTTGTTAATTATTAACATGGTTTCAAAGCAGAAGGTCCGTTGGACCGTTTTTTTTCGGGCCCACCATTACCTACGTGTCACAACTTATATTTGTAACTGCCTGTAGCTGTAGTTAGTGTAGTTATTTAAACTTTGTTTGGTGGTGCACCTTATGTGTTTCCTTTGCTATATGTACTTCGAAACTATAGTGAAGCCACACATTCTCCCAACTTCTCTTCCAACTCACTCGATACTCACCCTAGGTGAAACCCGCTCGATATCCTACTTGGGCCTAGGCTACTAAGCCTAGGCCCTACTTAATCTTAACTCTTTCTCGTTCAACTCTCGACATGTTATCAGAGCGACGTTCGTTCTGGCCTCACGTTTCCGCTGCTACGATTTTCCGGTCGAGCGCCTAGGGCGCGTGACGATTTTTACCTTGTCCCGCCCCCGGTTGGCGTGTGACGCCTTTTCTGCCCGTCGCGCGCCCCGTGGCATGCGACGGTGCCCTTTACCTGCCCGTCGTGCGCCCCGTGGCACGCGACGGTGCCCTGCTCGTCGTGCGCCCCGTGGCACACGATCGGGCCCTTTCTCTTAACTTACCCGTCGTTGCGCCCCGTGGTACGCGACGGGCCTTTCCGCCCCTGTTCTCCCTGAAGCCGCCCCTGGCCTATCTGCACCGACATCGTTTAGCCGCTCTGCGGCTTTCTTCCCGCCCACCCCCCCTCCTCCTTTGTCTCCCTGCAGCCGTGGGGAGGAGGGTATGGGGGTGGCGGGTGTTGGAGTGTTGGGTCAACTCTTTCCCTTTCCCTCCTCCTTCTTTCAGTCCCACCGCTGCAGCTGCCGCTGGGGGGGAGGGTGTGAGGATGTGGGGGAGCAGGGGGAGTGGTACCGGGGTGGCGGGTGTGAGGCAACAAGCAGCCGTCCCTCCACCTCTCCTCTCTTCCCCCCTTCTCTGCTGCTTCTGCAGCAGTGTGGGGGAGGGGAAGGAGGAGGGTGAGGAGATGGAGGGGGTGACCAGCTAGTGTCAGCCCGCCTGCATTACCTGCTGTTGCTTGCTTTTTATTATTTTGCATGTGTACACCTGCAGGTTGTATTCTGCACATACTCCTGCTGCAGGCAGTTATGGGGGAGTGTCACAACTTATATTTGTAACTGCCTGTAGCTATAGTTAGTGTAGTTATTTAAACTTTGTTTGGTGGTGCACCTTATGTGTTTCCTTTGCTATATGTACTTCGAAACTATAGTGAAGCCACACATTCTCCCAACTTCTCTTCCAACTCACTCGATACTCACCCTAGGTGAAACCCGCTCGATATCCTACTTGGGCCTAGGCTACTAAGCCTAGGCCCCACTTAATCTTAACTCTTTCTCGTTCAACTCTCGACACTACCGTCATCGCCTGGGTATAAGACAGTGTTGAATAGTAGATAGGGGTTGTCTATTATACAGGTGTCTCTTATAAACGGGCTAGCCTTTTTATACGACACCTATTTGTGTGTACGAGATAAGACATATGTGTCTTATAATCGAAACTACAATGTATTATAGTGAAAATTGAAATACCGCGTACATTTTTACCCTTGCGACACGCGAATTCCGCCACGTGCTGACTCACGTTCTTCAAAATTTGCCTCTGCAAGTATTCGGGATGACGTGGCGTCCTGAACAATGGTTGCCGAAGTAGCACCTTCGCAACATCCACACTCTTAATGAGAAATTCTTTTCAAGATGCGTGAAAATATTTCGAAGTAGTTTAAAAAAGTTTCCATTTATAAGACTTATAAGACACCCAAAGCCTCCCCAAATACAAGATAACCCAAGCATTTTTTTTAGTGTATGAGATAAGACATATATGTCTTATATCCGCATGCCCTGCCCTGCGCTAGCGCCCTGCCCTGCGCCAGCGCCCTGTCCTGCGCCAGCGCCCTGCCCTGCGTTCTGCTGCAGCCCGCGCCCTGCGGCAGCTGCATGTCGCGCCCTGCTGCCCTGCGCTTCGCGCCCTACGGCAGCCTGCGCGTCGCGCTATGCTGCCCCACGCGTCGCGCTCTGCTGCCCCGCGCGTCGCACTCTACGGCAGCCCACGCGACGCGCATTGCTGCCTCGCGCGTCGCGCACTGCTGCCTCGCGCGTTGTGCTCTGCTGCCCCGCGCGTCGCGCCCTACAGCAGCCCGCCCATCGCACGCTGCTGCCCCGCGCGTCGCGCTCTACGGCAGCCCGCGCGTCACGCGCTGCTGCCCTGCGCATTGCGCTTTGCTGCAGCCTGCACGTCGCGCCCTGCTGCCCTGTGCGTCGCGCCCTCTTGCACCCAGTACGCCGCGCCCTGCTGCCCTCCACAGCGTGCGCCCTGGTGCCCGCGCCGCCCAAGCTGAGCCGCGCCACCCGACATGATCCGCCCTTCTGCTTGTGCTACTACTGCTGGTGGTGGAGGTGCTGCTAGGAGTGCTGGAGGTGTTGCAGCCTAGCCTCATGAGCCGCTCTGCTGTTCGTCTTACTGCTGCTGTACTACTGCCTTCACTCCGTACTGCCCTAGAGGTCACGCTCCTCCTAGCTTGCCCGCCATGACTTCACTTTGTAGTCGCGGTGGGAGTGGTGACGGCGGTGGTGGCAGCATTGGGAACTGTGACGGCCGTAGTAGCAATCACTGTGGAGCTGTGTGGTGTGGAGTCTCTGGCGGTGGCTAGATGCAGCTACGGCGGCGTCCAACCCTTACGCCCCAACAGCTTCGTGAGTGGCTTTACCAGCGTGGGACGTCTCCGAGTCCTGGTCGCTGTCTGTATGTCATTCGCAAAGGTTGTCGAGCTGGTCAGACCTGTGGGACACTTGGTCACGCACAGTCCTGCTACTTCGCCTATTTGACTGACGCCTGGCACACAGAGTTTGGCGACGAGGCTGAGACCCCCCCACTGGCTTGAGTTGCTTAGGTCGGGCGTTGATGTCTTTGTTTTAGATTATGATGCCATCCTTACTGCCATGTCTGCTTTGCTTGGTGGCGCTGAGCGTGACTGTTACCTGTGTGTGCAGTACGACCCCGGTATAGAGGTTGCTGCTCTAGGTGCGAGTGAGGCTGCTACCTTAGGTGCTGGTGAGTCTGCTCTCTCAAGTCCTGCACCTGCTGAGACCTTGCACACCTTCACGCTTGACTCATCTACTTCCCACTACTTCTTTTGTGACAGCACTGCACTCACACCACTCCCTGCACCTATTGCAGTCTCTCTGGCGGACCCCTCAGGGGGCCCAGTTCTTGCACGGTCTACCACTGTGCTTCCGTGCCCGGCGATTCCGTCTGGCTCACTGTCAGGTCTCCACCTCCCCTCGTTCTCGACGAACTTGGTGAGCAACGCCGTCCTCAAGGATCATTGGGTTGACACCTTTATCTCCGGAGGACAGGTGTGGCGATCTGTACGTGCTCCAAGACGGGCTATCACCTGGCCACGTTCACCCGCTGGCCAGGGTCGAGTCTTTACACACTGACGAATGCGCCTCCTCAAGTAGCTGCTACTGGTTAGGTTTCTGCGTCATGTCAGGTAGCCTCCCCCTGTGAGTGTCGCTCCCTGTCGCACCAGACTCTTCTCTGGCACCACCACCTGGGTCACCCCTCTTTGCCACGTCTACGTGGCATGCACCATCGCCTCCTTGTGTCTGGTCTTCCCAGATCTCTCCCTCCCCTCCCTGCCTCGCCCTGGATTCCTTGCGTCGAGGGGCGGCAGCGCGTCGCTCCTCACTCCTTGTTTACCCCAACAGAGGCTCCTCAGCAGACCCTCCACCTGGACGTGTGGGCCTAGCCCGCATTCGTGGACAGGGCGGTGAGCGGTACTTTCTGCTGGTTGTCGACGACTACTCGCGTTACACCACGATCTTCCCCTTGCGTACAAAGGGTGAGGTCCCTGATGACCTAATCCCTTGGATCCGAGCAGTTCATCTCCAGGTCCGCCGCAGGTTCTGCCACGACCTTCCTGTCCTGCGTCTGCACTCTGATAGAGGTGGTGAGTTCACCTCCGACCTCTTGCGGGCCTTCTTTCAGGGGGAGGGCATCGAGCAGTCGTTCACACTTCTAGGCTCACCACAACAAAATGGGGTTGCTGAGCGCCGCATTGGCTTAGCCATGGAGGTCGCTCGTACCTCTTTGATCCATGTAACGGCTCCCCATTTTCAGTGGCCATTTGCGGTCCGGTACGCCGCACAGCAGCTCAACCTCTGGCCCCATGTCTCCTTGCCGGAGACCTCGCCCACACTGCGTTGGACGGGGGAGGTTGGCGATGCGTCACGTTTCCGGGTCTGGGGTGCTCGTGCGCTAGTCCGCGATACGTCCGCGGACAAGCTCTCCTCCCGCACCATTCCTTGTGTCTTCCTTGGCTTTGTCCCTGACGCGCCTGGCTGGCAGTTTTACCAACCCACCTTGCGCTGTGTCTTCCCCTCTCAAGAAGTCACTTTTGACGAGTTGGTTCCTTTCTACCATCTCTTCCCCTACCGCACTGCCCCTCTCCCTCCCCTGCCGCTTTTCCTTGCTCCACGTCCCCCTCCGGTAGACCCCCTTACCCCTCAAGGTCCTGCTCCTTCAGGTGTCTCTCACGTAGACCCCCCCCCCCCCGTGGCTGGGCCTGTAGAGGTCACTAGCGACTCAGGTGCTGCTGCGGGAGGTGCTGCTAGGGGTGCTGCGTCTGGGGGTGCTGAGCCTGC